CATCTCACTCCACCTGTGTTTACTAAACACCTGCAGTGTTCCCTGCTTCTCCCTAGGAAAGGGCTGGGTGAGCAGGAAATGTCATGATGACAAGACTGATATGTCTGCGGCTAGCCTTCTGGCATGCTCTACAAAGTGAAAACTGGGGGAGCTAGTAAGGAGGCCTGGCCTGGAAAGAAGAGAAGACAATCAGAAAGAACCTTCTACTGATGCTGATACTGAGCTTGGCAGCTGCCCTTGAGCAAAAATAAACTCCCCATGGCAGTGAACAAGATGCTGATATTGGCACCTGCCAGAGGCAAACAACCAAAGTCGCAGCTGCGCTGGTCAAATGAGCTCGGGGACCTCGGGGGGCTGAGACCTTGATGACTATTTGTGGCTGTGGTTCTCAGCAGGCAGCTTATTGAAACAGGGCTCGCACGCCTTCACTATCCCTCCAGGCTGGGTCTTAGAACAATCGGGAATGCAGGTGGTACACCCTGCTGAACACCCACCCCGGGCTGTTTCTGGGAGGTGGGAGAGCTCATCTGAAAGCAACAAAGGAATTTCTGGTGAGGATAGAGCAGACAAGAGACTCCTAAAGCTAAGAAGTGGGTGCTCAGGGGGAGTCAGATAGGCAGATTTCCTACGTGGGGATTTAGCTTCATCTTCAGATCTCCTGGCTCCTGAGAGACGATGCTGCTTCCCTCAAAGCCTAGGCTAACTGTAAAGAGGCAACAGATGGAAGAAGAACGCATCTGGAGAGGACCCCCTTCAGATTGACTAGGATGAAGAATCGATGGGAAGGGCCACCATTAGATTCTAAGCAACAGTGCAGGATGATGAGGTGAAGACATCAGTCATCAATACGAAAGACAACCGAGCCAGCCAATGGCTTCAGAAGACAACTAGCCTTGCAGAATAGCCCATTGAATAATCCCAGGATGGAGGCAGGGAGAAATCACAGATCTCAGAGGGACCGTTCCCAGTTCACGAGGAATTCCAGACAACAGATTGAAACAAATGGCCACTTGAAGAGAAAAGCTGTGTCAAAGTCAGGAGTTGTGAGACAGATACATGAGATATCTATCTTGGCGATAAGGAAAAAACAAAACAAAACACCAAAACAAAAATGTAGCTTCTAAGGGTATCCAACTAAATCCCCAGCTGTGTTGTTATATGCTAGATTTTTTGAACAAAGTGTCTTCTGGCATCTAGATATTAGTGCTGGCTTCCTGCCTGAAAAGAATTACTATCTTAAATCACAAAACTCTGGCTCTTTTGTTTGGAGAAGTTTCTTACTCTGAGTGGTAAGATCCATTTACCTGTGCCAGGTGCCATCTTGTTACACTTCCTTCAACTCACCTTCATCTGTCAAGTTACTGAGCCCAGGGAAGCCAGGTCCTTCTGATATAACAGTGCCTAAGCCATTCTTGTCTGTTTCTGCTGCTTTTAGATCTTCCTAGAAAAACACCCAAATCCCTAGTCTTTGTTCATGATGATCCCAGAAGACGGAACTCCAAAGGTCTCACTTGATGGAATAAGCAAAAAACAGCAATGGGCACGGGGGGTATGAGCCCAGAAGATGAAAGACTGAGTGGAAAAAGAATTAGAAAATGAGAATGCATTTACACAGTTCTTTCCTGGCCCACGGTGTATTGACTTAACTACGCTGTGCATAGCTGACTACATGAATGAAAACTCACTTTCCAAAGACAGCCCCTCGGAGGCCACTGTTTCGTAAATAATAACAACAGACATACATTTGAAGCTGGATCCCAAGAAAAGAATGTGCTAATTAGATCAACTCCTGCTGCACTTCCATCTCTTTTCCTGAGTACTTTACCCAGGCTCAGAAACACTGCTATTTCCCCACTTCCCTAGTTCAGCAGATGAAGAGCTGGGAGAGTCTGCATCAGAGTACAGAAGCACATAGGAAATGGTCCGTCGACTCATCCTTGGGGTGTACGGAAGATGGACACAATCTTGATATAGACCAAATCTCAGGCCACAGCTGCCCTGGGGGAGACCTATGCGGTATCTGCTGAACTCAAAGTCCCAACATTGAATACATTTTTTACTATAGGATAAAGAGTTGTTGTTTTCTTTAAAAAAAAAAAAAAAAAAAAGGATACAGAAACCACACTCGCATCACACTGTGAATATAGTTTGCTATAGTTAATGAAAAATAATTTATGTGATATTTAACATATACTTCTCTTAGAGGTTGGGAAATGCTGATAGGGAAAAACATGTCTTCAGTTGGCATTCAGCAACCCTTCTCTCATTGTGCACCTCTTCCTTCCTGTGCTCTATTCAAAAGTTACTCAATGAGATTGTTCAAAAGTATTCAACATCAAAATGGAATGAATGTGCTTCTAATCATTTTGGTGAAAACTGCCATTTTCTTTTTCTCCTGAAATCAGTAGAGCATGGCTACACTTGATCTGTAAAGCCATGTCCTACATAGACAGAAGGTACTGTCTTTGTTGTTTTAAAATCAACTAGAATGAGATGTTTTCTGTGAAAGGGCCAAATCTAGGCAGACACCCGAAATGCAGGGGCCCAAAGCACAGGAAGTAGGGAACCATGTTGACTTCCTTTGCCCTCCAAGGAAGAGGCCAATTGGAATCATTTGCATCCTCCATTCTTGGCGCAAATGATGGTGTTTCAGGTCTCAGTGTCACCATGGCACCACATTGAATGGCAAACACACTTGCTTGCCAGGATTTTATAAGAATCTCTCTAATGTGTTGCCACTGAACACGTCTTCCCCCTCCCCGTTTATTTAATAAGCAATTTATTTTCAAATGGAGGAATTGGTAACTCTAATATGCTTTTATCTCTGAAGAAAAATGAGATCTTTGGTGGTGATAGATGAAGCTTTACAAAATGCAATTTGTGTGTTGCACATCTATGCACTCATCACTGAAGGCTATCCTTGTTACTACTGATAAATCCCATTTCCTCTCTGGTCATCTGAAGCTAATTAGAGATGCTGTTTAGTGCAGAAATAATCAATAGTTTTTCTTCAGTGGATCTCACAGAATCAGACCCATATGTAATTAGTCCAATGTAGATACATCGAGACACCTTAATTAAAACAAAATAGGCTCTGCCACAAACAGGCTTTCATAGATGACTAGCATCCCAGATATTTTGACACACTCAATGTGTTTATTCAAAGTAAAAAGTCTTTACGAAACTTTTCACTGATCAAATACAGTTGGGCATCGGATGAATTTCCCTTGAAAACATGTTGAAGTGACAAACGTTGGTACTTAGTATCACACAGTCGTGTTTATTAACATTTGGATATAAATGCACTTCAAACACCAATAGAGCTCAAAGACTATCTTTATCTTGGATTTAATAGCTCTTTTGCTCAGTAATTTGATTAATTCTGACAAGGAAAACATCAGGGGCAAATGGGATTAGCATGAAATGGTCACCGAGGGCTTCCTCTCTGACCCCTCTCTACTGATGTGGGAGAGCACTCGAAGTCCCCAGTTAGTTCTCTCTTAACGTGGCAGCTCTTCTCTTCATGCCGGTGAGGACAAACGTAACACTAGCACTTGATCTTTGTAGATTCTGCATCTTGCCATCTAAAACCAGACTTCAAAAGTGCACTTTAGCATCTATTCCTTGAAGGAAGAGAACACCGGAAGATGATGCGCAGCTAACTCAGCTAACAAAGCTATGAGACTTTTGCCAAGCATCTTATTTCAGTTCTGTTGACTGGAGCCAACCAACTCATCTCCACCCTCTTGATCCAAGAACCTTCTTTTTGTTTGGCATAATCACAGTCTGTCTTAGAGGACATGCAACAAGAATGTAAGTGGATTCTTAATGATCTTGAGGCCAAACTGCATTAAAGCAAGGGACCACGCCATGGCAGTTGGGAGTAATGACAATCTTTAGGAAGAATTGTGGACCCTCAGATGGGTCTGCTTTGAAAGATAGGGCACTGCACCCTTCTCCCACCTCTGTCAAAGCCGCCTTTGTCGCTAACATGAAAACCAGGGTCCTGGGTCTGGTTAACTGGCAAGGAAGGACGCCACTACACAGTGCGGAGCATTTACAAGTGGCTGCCATTTTCCTCACAGGAAGCTTGATCTTTTTTATCAAGAAATGCTAAAAGACCAAGCCAGGACTGCTCTGTCCCCTCCTGTCATCCACAGCAACGTGATTTGGAGCTTTCTGCTGTAGCACAAGGTCCCTCGGAACCTGCTTTTGAAGAGTAGTATTTGTGAAGTTAATACTGGAGATAAGACTACTTAATGAGAAGAAAATGAGCTCTGTGTATTTTGTATTAAACTGTCAGTAAAAAAAATGAAGACCAATATTTTTCACTTTCAAAATATAGAAAGCCAATAGTTGAAATCATGTAGTAGTAAAATTGTTTTCTACAGATTACCTCAGAAGTGTAAGGAGTATTACAGTGAAGCTTCATCTATGGTTGACACATGAGGGCTTCTCACTCAGATAAGGCTTTGGAGACAGTCAGTCAACATACAGGATGGCGCGGTAATTTCAAGCCCACTCTTGCTCTCTATGTTGACCACAAGACAGACACTACATTTGGTTGTGGCGGGTGTTATTTTTGATTTTCTGGAGCGCGCAGAACTGTTTGCAGTACATAAACTTAAGCGAGGAAAATGCTAGTACGTACAGGAAGGTGAACATTCATCCAAGCTTGTTTTCGCAAAGTCTCTTTGATGAAACTCTTTGTATGGTGAGAGAAAGCTTGGTGTCCGTGTTAGGCTGCAGTTTATGTTGTTAGAAATCAAAGCCATTGTGTGAGATATGGAAGATTCTTTAGAAATGCTAACTCATTCCCTAGCTAGGAAAAGCCAGAGTTAAAATGGTTAAAATCATCATCATCATCATCATCATCATCATCATCATCATCATCATCATCACCCCAGCTTGCTTTACCCAATTTACACACTGTCCCTTTAGAATACAGCATGCCCCCAAAGCCTTCTGAGTTTGGAATGTCACACCGCTTCAAATATCCTACAGAAGCCCCCGAGTGTCATAAGAAGCTTTCATTATAAAACAAACAAACAAAAAAACAAGTTCCAGTTGGAGGAAACCATTTTAGCAGTATCTCAACTGAGCTCCTAGAACTGGAATTTCAGATATACAAGAGGGCAGGAAACAGATAACTTGGTTTTCGTCTTTCTTACAGGTCCATGTTGTCTTGTAGATGCAGCTACAATGTTTCAGCCAAAGATAAAGATAATAGGGTGGACAGAACTGTTACCACCAGAACCAGCAGTGGGCTCAGATTGCATCTTGGAGGCGCAGCCATTGATTTTGTGGTTGTGTGGCTGGACGCACCAGTGAGACCTTCCTTTTCGTAATCACGCTGTAAGGAAGAACATTTTCATTATCAACTGCTCTTTTACCGCAGTGTATTTGAACCACACTCTTTCTCCCCCACCCCCATGCCCACCTAGCTACACCACTCATCAAAGCTGACCTAAGACGTTCCCCCTGAGACTTCAACTCACCTACCTGTAATTTTTATGGGAAGGGACTATGAACTTGGGTGAGAACTGGGTCCTTTTGGCCAGTATTTACTTTGGGCCCCCCCATCATGGGCTATTAAAATCTATTTATGGGAAGAGATGTGAGCTCAGGTATCTTTTTCCACTCTCTACCCCGGCTCTGCAGAAATGTATCACATGGAGCACTTTTCCTGGGTAGCACTGATTAAGGAGGGGTACTCCTTGTTCCTCCCCATCAAGGATGTAGGACAGGGACTAGCATCAGAAAATGTGCTCAGGCTCAGTCAAGTAACAGCTCATGCTGAGATGCATCTCCAGTAGCATCAGAGACGGGCAGGCAGTGGCCTTGCTCTCCAGTAGCCAACCCAACCCTGGATTTTCTAGACGAGGAGCCAAGAGAGGGGGAAGGAGCTGATGCTGCTCATCAGTGGGAAAGCTCAAACCAGAATCCAGATTTTTGGGCTCCCAGCAGGCATAGCTGTTCTCCCTAAATCTTACTCTTCCACCTCCACCCTCATCCCAGTCCGCTGAAGTTTTATCCACACACATTGAGCTGTTATTGGGTAAAGGAATCTGACCAGCTTCTATCTACCTCTGATTTGCTGTGGAGAGTCAAGGGAATTGTGGGTACGAGAGTTGTGGGCTATCTTTTCCATCTGGGTGACCAATCTCAGAATCTTCTGGCATTGCAGCCATGAATGTGGGTGCTGAACCAGCTCCAAAATGAAGATCTTGGCCCCCGTCCTTCCCTCTGAGTTTTTGCTCTGTGATCTCATGTCTGTGCTTGGTTCAAAGGGCAGAGGGCAAAGGGCAGCTTCCTTCTGGACTGAAAGCCTCATTTCTCTGAGTCCTTTATGCTGTCATACCCCAGTAGACAAAGTTTCTGTCTATACATGCAGGGGCCCAGAAGGAAACACAACTTACATCAGAAAGACAGAGGTGTGTGCTGCCGGATACATTGGATTTCAGCTTCTGGGCCTGAGAAGAGACAGAAAAGAAAAAAAAAGCTCATATGTATAAATTAGAATAATAATTACTGAAGACCCAGCCATCAACTGTCAGGGCAGTGCCAGTCCATCGAAAGATGCCAGCCCTAACTATAAGTCCCATAGAAAATTAAAACAATTCTGGTAACCATATAAATAAAGGACAGTTAATGTTCATTTGAACAATAGATTTTATTCATTTATTTCATACAATATGTTATCATTTGACTATCTAATTAATATACAATAAGAATGAATGAGCTAATTCATATTCATTTTAAAAGACTATGTCTTTTATTGGCTACACAAAATGGGGGGGGGTGTGCTATAAAGGAAAGAAGTGACTGGCTTACAAGTTTTCAAGAGGGAGCCTAGATCCAGAGGGCACAGGTAGAATCTCTACTGAGTAGTGTCCAATCTGTCTGGGCAGGGCTGATGAAAGGAGACGTGGATAGGTCTCTTGTGATACAATAGTGAATAATTGTTATCAGGAATGACTGTGAGGGTTGGAAATGTAAAGATAAACATTATGTATCAAAAGAAGGGGAGTGACTGACTTTGCATTGTAGGAGCGGAGGTCCCGGAGAGTG